TTAGGAAAGAACTGGTACCTTCTTCCCAGCATGGTTGCAAAGCAAGTTGTTTCTTCCTCTACTTTGGGAGAGCCTGCCAGAGAGATCTCCAGGGGAGGCAGAGCTGACAACGGTAACTGATAATTCCCTGATGATATCACCGAGGGGCTGGATCCAGCCTTTCCTGAAGCCATGGCATACTCATCAATCATTTTCCATTAAACTGTTTTGAGTTTGGTTTTTACCTTATAACTCAAAGAGCCCTTCCCCACCAATTTTACAAGTGGTGTGGTGGGAATCCAATATTAGAGAAAAGGGAAAGAGGCTGTAGAGCTTGGTGAAGCAGTGTATGGGAAGCATCTGGGAAATGGAGTGGGATGGTTCCTGTGGCATTGTGTGGGACCAGGCAAGAAAGGACTGATCACAAGGACCCTGGCAACTGTGCAATGCTGAACCTAGAGGAATGATGCACCACTGCCAGTGTTCCAGGCCACACCTAAACATAGGCCGGCCATGACAGAATGCACTCTACTATAGCCTTGCTTGTGGTTCTGGTGGTCATGGACCCTCCAGCTTGGCATCTCCCGGGAGCCTGCAGAATCTCAGGCCACACCTCAGACTTACTAAATCAGGATCTGCATTTTAACAAGGCACCAAGTACTGTGTGTGCACAACCCTATTTGAGAAGCACCGCTGTGGGGTTATCGGTAGTGTCTGTGGTAGCATGCCAAGATGGCCACCATCAGCTCCTTCCTTCCTGTTTGCCCACCCACAGGAAGGTGGACGGTTTCTTCAGGCCATTCATCTGGGCTTGCCCAGGAGTTGCTTGGACAACAGAATGTGGTGCAGTGGTGGTACCCGTATTACGCGTCACCCCCAAGAAGCCTAGCAGCTCTGCATTGTCCCTCAGGAGCCAGCTGTCATAAAGTCTGAATACCTCAGGACCTCATTGCTAACCACATGGAGATGCCATGTGGAGGCCCTGTGGGTTCCTGAAAGGTGAGAGAGTGGCCTTCACCAATGCCATGTAGAGCTGAGCCTACCCAAATTTCTGACTCATGGAATTGGGAGAAATGATTGATCACTGCTGTATTAAACCATTAAGTTTTGGGGTTATAGAGCAAAAGCCTACTGAGGTAGTGACTATCTTTCCTCTTGCAGGGTGTTCACTCACTCTAGACACTGTGCTGAGCACTTTCCACTGCCAACTGCTGTTCCAGGCACTGTTCCAGGTCCAGGGTGGAGTGATCATGAGATAGACAGCACCCCTGCTCTTACAGGACTGAAGCTCTTGTCCAGGAAGATGGCAATAGGCAAGAAAATACCCAAATACAGTGCAACAGAGGTATGTTTGTCCGCCCCACCCACCAGCATTCATATGTTGAAATTCTAACCCCCAGAGTGACAGTAATAGGAGATGGGGCCTTTGAGAAGTGATTAGGTCATTAGGTGATTAGGGTGGAACACTCACGAATGGGATTAGCACCTTTATAAAAGGAACCTTAGGAGGCTGGGTGGCTCAGTCGTGAAGTGTCCTACTCTTGGGTTTTTTTTTTTTTTAATGTTTATTTATTTTTGAGACAGAGAGAGCATGAGCAGGGGAGGGACAGAGAGAGGTAACAGAATCTGAAGCAGGCTCCAGGCTCCGAGCTGTCAGCACAGAGCCCAAGGCGGGGCTCAAACCCATGAGCTGAGTCGTGAGAACATGACCTGAGCTGAAATAAGACGTCCAACCAACTGAGCCACGCAGGTGCCCCTGAAGTGTCCTACTCTTGATTTCAACTCAGGTCATGATCTCATGAGGTTTTTGAGATCAAGCCCCATATCAGGCTCTGCACTGGGTATGGAACCTGCTTAAGGTTCTCTCCTCACCCTCTGCCCCTCCTTCCTTCTCTCTCTCTCTCTCTCTCTCTCTCTCTCAATGACTAACTAAATAAATAAAAGGAACCTCAGAAAGTTCTCTTTCCACCACATGAGGCTACAAGAAAATGGCTGTCCACACCTTAGAAGCAGATGATCACCAGAACCTTCCATGTTTGGCCCCCAATCTTAGACTTCTAGCCTCTAGAACTGTTAGATAAGCCATCAGTCAGTGGTGCTTTGTTATAGCAGCCTGAACAAAGACACACGATAATGTCAGAATTTAGGAGCAGTTTGGAGTAGGGGCTGGGGACAATATTAGACAGCAAGGAAGGTTGCTCTGAGGAGACACACCTGATCTGGGCAGTGATGTTGAACAGGGGCAAACCGTACAATGACCAGAGGGAAGGGGGATGTTGCCAAAGCCCTGAGGGACCAATGTGGCTTGTGGGAGGCACAGGCTGGTGGTCTGGTTGGTGAGTGTAGTGGGAGGGGCTAACTGGGGGGAGGAGGGAGAATGAGGTCAAGAGATGAAGTCACAAAAGTTGGCAGGGCTATAGCTACACTGTCCAGTTTGGTAGCCACTAGCCACACAAGACTGTTTAGGCCGAATGTACATAAAATTAAGATTTAGAACTCACTTCCTCAGTCCCACCAGCCACATTTCAAGTGCTCGATAGCCACACATGGCTCATGACTAACATATGGGACAGTATGGATGAGAATATTTCCCTCAATGAGGAAAGTTCTATCAGCCATCTCTGGCTATAGAATGAACCAGGAGTAAGCCAAGGTTCAAGGTCAGACTATGTGCTCTTGAGCCTGGCACTTCATTAAATCCCTGGAGGTTCTGGTTTTACCTAGGATGAAATGAGGTTCCTGCAGCCCACCAGTGGGTCTGAATTATCCACAGCAAGATGTCAACTCCACAAATAGTTTAACTGAGGTCTTACCAGGAGAGCATGTTCAAGGCTTCATCCATGGTAACTGGCAGCAAAAAGGCCTGTTTAACTGACTTCTTTGCAACCTCATTTAGGCTGCCAATTTGGGGCTCCCTGATGTGAAAAAAGGAGCGTGGCTACTATTTCAGGGCAGTGCGCAGAAGGGAAATTGCTACAATTAGCTAAAGCTGATTTTGATTAGCATATTTTCTTCCTTGGTGCATAACATCTGTTGGTGTGGAAACAGTCACACACAGTCTCGCTCTCAGAGCGAGAGGCACGGGCAGTGAATGAAGCAGGCCCACGTGGAGCCCAACACCAGCTGGAGAAACTTGAAGAGGAGATAAAATAGCTCCTGAGGAGAGGCGCCTGGGTGGCTATTGGCTGAGGATCTCTTAATTTTGGCTCAGGTCATGATCTCACGGTTTGTGGGTTCGAGCCCCGCAATGGGCTCTGCGCTGATGGTGAAGAGCCTGCTTGGGATTCTCTCTCTCCCTCTCTCACTGCCCTCCCTCCCTCTCAGAATAAATAAATTTGAAAAAAAATTTTTTAAGGAGGTAAAACAGTCCTTGAGGAACTGGGCAAGTCACGAGCAGTTTGTCCTCAGGAAGGGATAAATAGGAAAGTGTTCCCTTCTCCCCCCACCCTCCCCCACCCTGCACAGGTTGGGGGGCTGCAGGTGGAGGTTCATGGCCACACCTGCATGGTCATTTACTGTTGGTGGCAGCTCTACAGTTTCCCTACCCCTGTGGCGATTACCCAAACATCCTCATCTGAGAAATGCAGACTATGACACCCACCTGGTGGGTGAGGGGCAGATTATGTTAAATCTCTGGGAACACACCTGGTATACAGTAGGTGCTCCATAAATGTTGGCTGAATCATAGTCTTCATAGGAAGGAGTTTTGGGAGAGGAAGAGAAATGGGCTAAGGGGTGTTTGATTAGCATTCAGGCTGGTTCCAACCCTGTCACCCCTCATTCATTCATTCAACAAATATTCATTCTGGGAGTTGGCTCTGTGGCCTCAGATCACCTCCCTAGAACCAGCGTGGCCACCAGTTTCCTACCTGGGGCCCAGCAGATCGGTGGAGCTGGTCTCTATGGTTCCTTTAAGCTTTCCCCCCTAACAAAGTTTGTAGCCACCCTGGGAGGCCTGACCAATTTGGGTTCAAACATGGGAGGTTAGCAAGGTTTTGAGACCCAGATCCTGCAATCGGAGATTTGGAACAGCTTTTAAAGATCTTTTGGTTCAGCTCCTGACTGATCACAGGGATCCTGTCCCAGCCCTGCTGACGGAAGGTACTCGGTTTGCCTGGAAGCTTCCAAAGGCATTCTCGCTGCGTCGCAAAGCAGCCCATTCTATTTTCAGAGCGCTCTAATCTACGGATACGCTTGTCTGTATATGGAGTGTATAGAAATTCTAGGTTAATGTCCCTCTTAGAACATGGCACCCAGCACAGAACACAGTTCTCAGTTCCCTTATCTGTAAGACGAGCACGAAAATACCTACTTCACCTTCCTGGTGGCAGGAACTCACAGCAATAACAGAGATACGGGATCTGATACTCGTAGGCACCTAATGTCTGTTCCTTCCCTTTCCAAACGAGGGCTGTTGCAAGCAGAGGACACGGACCCCTCTGGCTCCAGCCTCTAGACTGTTCTTTGCTTTCTGTGGGGCCTGAGATGGAGCTACAGTGTTCCCCGCAGGCTTGGCGGACCACTACGACTTGTACTCCTGTGTTTGAGGGAGAGAATGGCAGGCAGCTCTCACAGCAAGGCAGACCACCCTGGTGTGTGAGGTGTTCTGCGCCTGCGCAGACCTGCATTTCCTGCAGACGGCCAATGGGCGCTCTGGATTCGAGGAGCCAATGGACAGACGAAGCACCGGGGAAAGCTGGCTCAGGGTGCCCCTACTCCGGCCCCCACTGTCGGCTGTTGAAGGCCTGACTGTGGGTGCCCCAGCTGGGAAAAGTCAGCGTGCTCCCAGAGGGACAGCCCTGCACCCCACCCTGTCGTCTTCCCTGTTGCCTACGCTTCCGGTGTTCTAACCCATCTAGGGACTTCCGGTGATAGTCTTAAATCTCTCTCTGTCCCAAGAGGGAAGGAAGAGACTTGATACACCGGGCGCCAGAGCCAAAGAGAGAAGGCCAGGTGTACAGAGAGGAAGGCCGTCATGCACATGGTCGGAGGCATCACTCGCATCGCCAGGAAAGCTATACCTGCTTGCGCTGCTGCAAGGGTGTCGCTGGGCCGATGGCTGCCTCTGCCCCCAATTGGGACTCAGAGCCATCCTCTAGGGGATGTGCCATCTGAGAGCCTGGCCTCCCTGCCCCAGAGCCTCTATCGAGCGCCTAGATGACCTTTGCCCAGGGAGCCCGAGCAGGTGGCAGACTGGGCCTGGGTGGCGATTAGAATATCACTTCCTGCATTTGGCAACCCTGCAGAGAGAGGTTGGGAAAGGGGCATCTGAGTCAGGTGAACTAGCTTCCCCTGAAAGGCTCAGGCTTGTCCTGGCACACTCCTGGCCGCCAGATCGGATGTGCTGCTGTGACTATGATACCCTGGGGTGCTAGCCCAGCCAGCCGTGGACTCTTTGTTTCCCGAGAAGTCTGAATACTCACCGAGAGCGCCTGGCTGGTCGGCGCCACAGGTCAGCTTGTCTCGGTTGCCGTGGCCCTGTTAGTGCAGGCCAGCCCTGGGAGGGGAAGCTCGCATATCCTGGGCTCAGGGGCAAATCAGGCCTGAGATCCTGAATGGGCCACATTGTGAGGTCACATCACTGGGGTCCCCCACCAGGTCTGCTGTCCCTGCTGTATCAGGCGACAGGGAGTTGTTCCTGAAGAAGTAACATCTGACGGGCACTGTCGGGGAAAAAAGCAACCACCCTGCTAGGGACCAACAGCCTGGGAGGCACCACGTCCCTATCCTGCCTGGCTGGGTCAGCACAAGTAAATCAAGTGCCTCTTTTCATTTTCCCAACAAATTGACTCACAGGGGAACCCCCAACCCTTAGCTATTCCTCTACACATTTTCCCTGATTGATTTGAAAGTCCAAGGCACACCCAGGACTTTCCCCCCACTGCCCACCTGGTGTGTTCAGAGTGCAAGCAGAAGAATTTAAATATTAGCTCAGAAAACAAACAGGAAAACGTAAATCTCCCCCACCCTCTCTCTTTAGTCAAACCTGACGCATGCCTTTCAGGATATCTTCTGTTTACATGCCTGCACTGCTTTCCTCTGCAGGTGATTGGGAATTAGGGACAACTTCTAGTTAATAAGCCCCTAAAGGGAAGGAAAATCCCACAAAAGGGGCCAAAGTCTAAAAGGTTTCTTGAGTTCTGTCCCCTTGCTTCTCTAGGGCTTGAGGTCAGGAATGGGAAACATTCTTTTTTTTTTTTTTAATTTTTATTTATTTCTAGGAAAGAGAGGGAGAGACAGCATGAGCAGGGCAGGGTCAGAGAGAGAGGGAGACACAGACTCTGAAACAGGCTCCAGGCTCTGAGCTGGCAGTCAGCACAGAGCCGGATGCAGGGCTCGAACCCACGAACCGCAAGATCATGACCTAAGCGAAAGTCGGACGCTTAACCGACTAAGCCACCCAGGTGCCCCAGGAATGGGAAACATTCTAACCAAAGGGAAAATGGCCTCGCTTTGGAGACTATCCTAAATTTTCGAGTCTGAAACAATGGTTTTCAAGCTTTGGTACATTTGAATCACGTGGAGGGCTTTTTAAAAATACAGATTAATTCCTCCTCCCTATATTTCCTGATTCAGTACACCTGGTGTAGGACCCAAGAATCTGTGTTTCTAACAGGTTCCCAGGCACTGCCGGTACTGGTCCAGAGAGTACACTTTAAAAAAATATATATTTTTTTTTATTGTTTGCTTATTTTTGAGAGACAGAGAAAGAGCATGAGCAGGGGAGGGGCAGAGAAAGGGAGACAGAGAATCTGAAACAGGCTTCTGGCCCTGAGCTGTCAGCGCAGAGCCCAATATGGGGCTCAAACTCATGAATCACCAGATTATGAGCCAAAGTTCGCTGCCTAACCAACTGAGCCACCCAGGCGCCCCCAGGGAGTACACTTTAAAAAGTATTGCTCAGGGACACCTGGGTGGCCCAGTCAGTTAAGTGTCTGACTTTGGCTCAGGTCATGATCTCACGGTTGGTGGGTTCAAGCCCCGCATTGGGCTCTGTGCTGACAGCTCAGAGCCTGGAGCCTGTCTTCGGATTCTGTATCTCTCTCTCTCTCTCTGACACTTCCCTGCTCACGCTGTCTCTATCTCTCTCTCTCAAAAATAAATAAAACATTAAAAAATAAAATAAAAACATATTGCTCAAAAACGTAATGCTGCTGGTCTTCTGGGTTTGATCCTAAAATAACACTGCCAGCTGATGACAGTATTCAGGGGTTGCTGGAGAACAGAAAGAAGCTTTAGTCTGGGGCCAAAGCTAGCTGAGTCCTCTAGATTCAACCAACCTGCTTTATTGACCCGTTCAATGCCAGTGCTAAGCCATGTTGGGAAGGCACAGCTCATGTCTGTGTCCTGCCCATAGCCTCTTGGCTTTACCACTTCTGTGCACAAACGTGGCCTGACTTCCAGCCACCAGCACCTGTGTCCCTTTGTTGGAAGGCTCTCCTCTGCTGCTGGAGCCTATCCTGGCTACAGACAGTGCAGCTGTGAGTCCAGGAATTAAACTCTCCCCAGGAACCGCCTCAACCAATGACGTTTAGTGATTGGTGGATAAATACCCCAGCTCTTTCCCGCTCAGGCAGAGTCACTGGGTGGCATGCTCTGTGCCGTCTCCCAGAGGTCACCACAGGACAGAGCCTCCATTGCCCGGCAGTAACTGGCTTGATAACACTGGATCTTCCTGCCCTCCCTCTCCTGGCCCACCTCCCCACCCCTCTGCCAGAGTGTCCTGGGATTGCCTCTAAATATTTAAGCAACTTGCCCTTAAATCTCGCTTTCAAGGTCTGCTTCTGGGGGAACCCAGGCCAAGACATCATGGATAAGGAATGGTTTTTGTCCTTGATAAGTTCACATTTAGAGGGGGAAAGCAACATGCTGTGGCTTAGTGAAGTCAGGAATTTCTGGGAATTGCTGGTGAGTGTCGGATCTCCAGGCAGATGAGGCATTCTGCTGGTTGCACTTAGGAGTGTCGTCAAGGGCACCTTAAGGAAATGTAAGGGCTCAGATGACACTCTCAGGAGGAGGCCAGGGGGAAGAAGGGGCCCCAGCGACAGGGCCCAAAGGCTTTTTCTTCCACACAGGCAGGCCTGAGTGGGGCACCTTCAGGGGACTGATTTGCTATGCAAATTCCTCTTGCTTCTACCTCCCTAGACAATTTCTCTTAAAACAGGAATACGGAGGTGTACCTAAACCATATAAAATATGACTCTTGTTAGGCTTAGGGGGCTGTCAGATTCTTGGAGAGGGGTTGATAAGAGTCTCTGCTGGTCTGATAGGATTAACATGTTTTCCTAGGTGCCCATCCCATGCCATGGCTGTGTCTAGCCCCCCATCTGTACTGTAGCTGGCTTCATCCAACTCCTCCCTTGCATTTGCAGGGGACGTGGTCCCCCAACTGGCCCCACATAGCCCTCCTCACCATCAATGTCTGTCCGCCAGAGAACCTCCACATACAAACATATAATCCAAATGAAAACCCTCCACATGGCATCAAAATACACTTCAAATCAAGTTCCTGGCCCCTTCCGTTGGACACACACCGAAATTCTGGAACCACCAGTGAATGGCCCCAGTCACTCCTTGGCTGGGCACCTTCACAGATCATTCTCAGGGGCCCAGGGGCCCCAGAGTTCTTTCCCCACATTTCAACTTCAAGAAGTGGAAAGGAAGCCTATCGACCTGGAACATTGTGCTAATGATAGTATTAACCTTTCCGGCATTACCCAGGACTCAAAAAATAATGGCTACCATTATGTGATAAGGATCACATACATGAGGGGACCAATTCCGAGACCTTAGCACAGGCTAAGAGATGGAAACGGGGGCTCAGCTGGTACCTTCAAAGACAACAGTCTCCATGTCCATCTCATTATTTTACACTCCCAAAGCCGTCCAATCGTTTTATTTTGTGATTAATTTGTGACACCATTTAAAATATGGGTGTAAATTTCAGTGCTATTTAGAAACGTGAGAAATTAGAAATCATTTGAATGTCTAAAAGAGGAATGATTGAATATATTGTAGAGATCCCCATGTTGGAGTATTAAGACCATAATAAGATGGTCATTAGGACCATGGGAAAACAGAGAAGAATGGTATTATTAAGTGCAAATTTAAAAAGCAGAGGCTACAAAGAATTACAACTATGAAAACATTTGCCTGTGACAAAATACTCAACATCACTAGTGATCAGGGAAATGCAAAAAAACCAGCACATGTTCACAAGCATGGCTACAATATAAAAGAATAGCAATACTAAGTGTTGGTAAGAATGTGGCGTAACCTGAACTTCCATATGTTGTAAAATAATACAACCACCTTGGAAACGTGCTTGGCAGTTTTCTTTAAACATAAAGATCTATGAAATGACCCCACAAATCCACTCCCAGGTATTATGCAAGAGGAATGAAAACACCTCCAATCATTGTACAAAAATGTTCATAGCTGCTTTATTCAGGATGTCCCCCAACCAGTAACAACGTAAATGTTCAATAACAGGTGAGGGAACAAATACATTCTTGTAAATTCTTATAATGGAACATTAGTCAGCAATGAACAGGAACAAAGTCCTAGCGCCTACCTGATAATGTGATAAACCTCAAAGACACACTGAATGCAGAGGCCAGAGACAAAGAGGACGTACTTGATTCCATGAACTTCTGAAACAGGTAGAACTAGTATAAGGCGGCAAGAATGTTTAGCGATGGCCTGGAGGTAAGAGTGGGGTGGGGTGGGGGATGGACTAAAGGTATAAAGGAACTTTGTGGGGTAAAGGAAATGTTCTAGATCTTTAGTACAGTGGTGTTATTCAGGTGCATATATTTGCCAAAACTTGTCAACCTGCATGGTTAAAATGTGTGAATTTTAAAGCATGTAAATTATAGCTCAATAAAGGTAAGAACACATGTGTGTGTGTTTGTGGGATGTGTATACATGACATATATTACATATCCATACATTCACATAGTCATATAATTACACACACACACACACACACACACACACACACACACAGCTTGCCTAGGAGGAAAAACCAGAAGAAAATACACTAAAATATGAAAAGCAGTTGTGTTTCACTAATGAGAGTATAGATGATTTCTTTCTCTTTTTGCTTCTTAGATTTGCCAAATTTTTACCTGTAAGGTTCTATAATAGAATAATAAATGTTCATGTTTTCATCGTGAATTGCTGGAAGCAAGCACTTACGATGATGTATATAATACGCTAGGTTTTTATTGCATGTGTGATGAGTCCTAGAGATTTCTCTTCCTGTATATCCACCAATCTAAATCTTCAAGCCAATTTAAAATCTCACATCCCCTACTAAGTCATTCATAATATCCTTGCCAGAAAGAAAAACTGTCTTATATCATCCACCATCTCTTCATATATTGTTTCTCTTTAACCACATCATATGCTCACCAAGGGCTGGAATAATATCTTTATTCTTTGTATTCCCAACAATCCCCAGCACAGAAAAAGCACAGAAATTTGGAGAAAATAGATCAGACTAGCACAGGGTCA